GGTTGTCCCAAAGTTGCTTTTTGCAAACCGCAGGAACCAGGACACTACTTAGGTGATCCTGAGGACACAGATAAACTTCCAAGTGCTTCAACAACCTTCTAAAAGGATGCAAATTACCAGCTAACCGCAAGGAATATAAATCCTTCCATTCTCCAGTATGCTATTAAAGCTGAAGAAGCTTCTTGGATGAGAAGCAAAACGTCTTCAAAGGAAAAAACAAGAAAGTCCAGTTGCCTCCTGAAAAAGCGCCTTTGGGACAGTCACTTGATGCGCTCCATATTATTCTGGGTTCTCTAGAGCCACTGGCAAAATCACGTCTTCAAGGCCTTTCAAAACAGTATCAAGGTGGGAACTAATATTGATTCCACCGAGAGCCATTTATCAGGACATGCGAGGCGTTGCCCTGTCAGCTGGCCAGAGTGCATGCGAGCGCTGGCCAGATAATTTCGCCCTTTTGAGTCCATTTTTTGCCCTCCAGAGGCTTTCTTAAAGCGTGAAAAACTGGCCCTATGGGCAAACCAGGGGTTCAGGAACGTACTTCCTGTTTGCTCATAGGACTGGTTTTAGCCCTCTGGAGCCTTCAGGAAGGCCCCTGAAGGCTCCGGAGGGCTAAAACCGGCCCTACGAGCAACCCAGAAGTGACTTCCAGTTTGCTCGTAGGGTCTTTTTTTGCCCTCCAGAGCCTCAGGAAAGGCCCCTGAACGATCCAGAGGACGGAAAATCGGAAGTCAGTTCCAGCTTGCTCATAGAGTTGTTTTTCGCCCTCCGGAGCTTTCAGGGAGACCTCCTGAAGGCCCCTGAAGCCTCTGGAGTGCGAAAAACTAGGCCTATGAGCAAACTGGAAGTCCATTCCCAAACTTCTGGTTTGCCCATAGGGCCAGTTTTTTGCGCTCCAGAGACTTCAGGAAAGCTCCTGAAGCATCTGGAGGGCCTCCGGGGGGCAGGGAGGCTGTTTTCGCCCTCCCCAGGCTCCTATAAAGCCTCTGAAGCCTGGGCATGGTGAAAAAAGCATGCCAAAAATGGGGAGCTCTGGTCATGTGCGCATGTGTACTGGGATCGTGCGCAAAGAGTTATGGGAGTGGCATGCACATGCCCCCTGTGCTCCCCCCGCTTTTGGTACGCAAGCCAAAAAAAATTATCTGTCGTGTCCTCGGACATATGACCGGCAGCTGCCAAAGGACACAGGAGGAGCCCTGATTGGTTTATATGCGCCTGCCAGCCAGCAGGAAAAATACAGTCTTCCCATTGGTTCCCTGTCTGACAATAGTTGTCAGACAGGGTTTGTTCCTCTGTTCCGTTCTATTTATGTTAATGTTAATAAATAGTTCTGCTGCAACCAATCTCCTCCTCAGTTATTGAATACACCAGTAATGGCTATAAAAGGTTGACCATCACTGCACTAGACAGACCTCCTTAGAAGAGGAGCCTTATACTGTAACATCCGCTGTTTCCACACAAGGGGGGGTGGCATGTAGATGTAACTGGGAAATCAGTCCTTCAAATAACCTGGTGCCCCTCCAGGTGGGTGGATGG